GACCGTAAGCCGTCTATTAGGACTCAGGACTTTGTCGACCAGGCTGCACAGATCATGGCCATGATCCGCAATCAAGTGAGACCACCAGGTCTCTCAAGTGTGGAAGAATCAGAGGCTGAGCATGGCACACCCGAAGGGGATGACCTCGATGACTCTTATCAGGAGTCAACGAATGAGCCCCTGTCTCGCCCTCCAAGCCGCGAAGGAAACCCTATGTCCAGGCCACCCAAGCATCAGGAGGATCCAGAGTTGATCAAGCGGTTGAAGAAGTACCAGGAGTTTAGCGACATGGGAGACATCATTACGTTGTCTATGCGATCCATGGGCCTAGTTAAGGAAGCAATTCTTGCGGATCAAGAAGTTGAGCGGGAAATTGAGAAGGCCCCTCGCCAGAGATCAGAGCTGTCATACAACACTGAAGACGAAGTCATTAGCGATCCACCCAACATTCGATTGTCAGCTGGCCCTGCTCACGATGCGCTGCCATCGAGCCCCTCACGCGACTATCACTCGCAATCATCGGGGGTTTCGACAAACAGATCCTATCCTACAACGTCCTCGCATGGCTCTGAGACTCGAAGAACTATCATGCCCGAAAGTGTGTCACATCTTATCCCGGATCGGGTGGGCAGCATGTATCTCGATAAGCAAAACAATATCTGGATCAAGAAGAAGGAGACACCTACGCGACGGCCCATGAATATTCTTCCATCAGACAGTGAGGACGATCCTTTCGCCAGCATCCCAGATTTGTCTGTGGATTTGACGAGAGAGATGCAGAACCTCCATCTCACCACCGCCAAGAAGAGCAACGCCGCCGGTAGTCCAAGCCAGGCGAGATCGCCTACTAGCCCGTCCAAGTTTGCAAAGTTTCATTCTGCTAGAGGCTTTACGACACTGTCACCTGACGGGCAACTGAGTCCGGAGATGAACAGCCTTGTCGGAGAAGAGTTCGATAAGTTAGATGCCCGGGTAATGGAAGATTCGGAGCTCTATCTTGAAGAATCTCGCCAAGATGAGAGCAGCTTCCACGACGACAAGGCTGACAGTACTCCCTCGACGACCACCAAGAAACGTAACCTCACCATCACGTTCTCTTCACCTGTTGCATCCATCATACAAGATGTGGTGGTAGCAGAGGATTTGGACAACCTTGAAGATGATCCTGAGCTTCCCAATGGCCATTTCAACAGTTCATCACCTAGGAAGTCGCCAGGCCATGCCAGTATTGGAAAATCAGTATTGAAGAACGGCGGTAATGGACAAGGCTGGAGTAACCGTATCCCCTCACGAAATGGCCCAGCATTTGTTCCTCGGCCTGTTTCGCGGATTGACGAGCAAGACGAGGATAGCACAATCGAGCTTCCTATTGATGAGCAACGCCAAGTCAGCATTATTGGGGACACAAGCGTTGTCAGTCACAAAACACCCGATGGCCGCCGCACCAGTCTGAGCTTCGTTGTCAACCCAACACCAAACAACAACTTCTACCCAACCCCTACAGACGACAGTGTCATGATTGGCCAGAATGTCGGAAAGCTTTCCCTTAGCCCATTGTCTGAATTTACTATCAATAATACGGATCAGTCGTTCGGCTTCGAGGTCAGCTATGTCATGGGTCGACGGCATGCAGCCACTGGAGATGGTTCTAAGAAGGTCATGTCCATGACGATACGGGAACTTGTGGACAAGCTTAGTGAGGTTGAGCCGTATGAGCCATACTGGGAAGACATCACAGAACTAGATCTTCATGAGAAGCGACTGGGAAGTCTGCACATGCTGGACCAGTTCTGCGGCAAGCTGGTGACACTAGACGCTTCCAAGAATGCACTGGGACACTTGGATGGCGTGCCGCCTAGTGTTCGGCAGCTCAAGGTATCGCAGAATATGCTGACCGAGTTGACATCTTGGGATCACTTGATGAACCTTCAGTACGTGGATATCTCTGGTAACGAGGTCAAGAGCCTTTCTGCTCTCAAGGGTTTGGTACATCTACGAAGTATCAGGGCTGACAACAACCAACTAACGAGCCTTGATGGCCTCGATACCCATGATGGACTGCTGTCTCTTCGAGCCCGAGACAACTTGATCGAGGAAATTGATTTTGCAAGAGTTAAGATGGAGCGCCTCACTGAACTCGATTTGGGGGGCAACAGAGTTACATCGGTCCGGAACCTTGAGTTGGCTCCCGCTCTGTCACGGTTGAGGTTGTCCAAGAACAAGCTTACAAGCTTTGTGGCGCCATCGTGCATCAAGACACTTCGTCAGTTGGAACTGAGCGATAACCAACTTACCTGCTTGGATGTCAGCAACTTGCCCAACTTACACTCAGTACATGCTGATCGCAATCGCATTACTGAGTTGAGTGGCTTCAGCCGAGCTCGAAAGCTCGATAGCCTGAGTCTCAGGGAGCAACGGGCAGATAAGGCTCTCGACCTTGGCTTCCTTTTGTCAGCTTGCGAAGTCCGTAAGCTTTTCCTCTCTGGCAACTACCTAGGTACCTTTGAGCCCACAGTGGACTTTCTCAACTTACAACTTCTTGAGCTCGCCAACTGTGGGATTCAAGCATTGCCGGACAACCTTGGTCAGCTGATGCCTAACCTCCGAACGTTGAACATCAACTTCAACGCGATCCGAGATTTGGAACCGCTCCGGTTCATTCCACGACTCAAGAAGCTCCTGGTGGCAGGCAACCGACTGGCTGATTCTACCATGGTGACGGAGTTGCTTATTGAGTTTCCACATCTCACTCAGCTTGATCTGAGAGACAATCCTATCACGATTGGTTTCTACGCGCCAACGCAGATGTTGGTTCCTGCAGATCGCGAGGGCTACGTTGACCCGTTTATGCTGCCTGACACAGATGTCGAGCGAGACCAACTGTTCTCTAGCCGACTGGATGAGATGACCAAGTTACGGCGACGACTACACCAAATTGTATTTGTGGCAAGTTGCAAAAGATTGCGAAAATTGGATGGCCTCGGCATCGACCGAGAGACGGTCCTAGCCAAAGACGCCGTGTTTCAGACATTGGTTGCTGAGGGCCTGTTGCCAGATGAGACACTCGTGGGTGAAAACTCTTCACCTTGCAAAGATGTGACAGCGGAAAATGAGACAATGGGGACAATGCGAAGCAGCCGTTGGAATGCAGAGGACAGCTTTGCCTAAGGGGCATTACAAAAGTGTATAATTCAAGAGGCGAGAAGGGGGTTTTGAGCTGTGCATATTTGAATGAGGCGTTTGTGGAATGTTTTGATTGGTTTTGATTTCCTTTTGTTTTTTATTCTCAGATCAAGGGAGCGAGAGGCAGGCTAGGGAATGGCCCTTAAAGGGGTAGGAAAACGGATTATGAATGAAGAAGGCATTGCCAGGCTGGATTTTGGCATTGGTAGGAGTTCATGGGTTAACTATCACGAGTAATTATCTTACATAAGGTAGCTTATGGGGACATGAGCTGTATGAATACTACATACATGGTATGAGAAGTCATGGATATTGAAGCTGAACTGAAGATGAAGTGTTGCAACAGAAGTGAAGTGAAGAGAAAAGAAGTGAAGTGTCAAACAATTAATTACGAGACGCATTGACAAGGGAGGCCTTAGCCTGGTCTGTCATGCGGATGATGCTGTAGCCCAACCCAAAACGCGTCCACTCGGTAAAGTATCAGGTACAAAGCGGTAATCTTCAAGGGTACCTTGTATCAGAATATTAATTGGCTGCAGGATGAAGTCACGCTGATCATTGCAGCCTCATCGACGTCAGAGACACGCACTCCATTTTGGTGGGAGCTTAGTTATGAAGCTTCTATCAAGGTTGCTTGCTCATCAAGCTCTCAAAGCTGGACAATGGTCGCGTGATGCAAGAGACAACATCTTTCTTTTTCTTTCGCTTTCAGAAGAAGAAACAAGCCACATATTGTTTCACGGACGAGTCAGACATCAACATCCTTGCTGGAACTGGGTTGCGAAATGTTCTGGAATTGTCCAGGGTGCGGGAATCCTCGGCCTGTTGGCCAGGCGTAGTCTAGCTGGGATGGCCCTGGAGATGAAATCTATTTCACTGTGCACGAGCTCATAAGTGATCATGTCTGAGCTCAGCTTTTTGCGCTGGCGGTTTTGTGTAGTTAAAATAACAAGCTTTTTTTTTTTTTGGCTGGKGGKGGKGCCCCTTGGGCTTGAAGAAAAGGGAAAGGGAAAACCCAACCGTGGAGACGGGCGTCAGGTACCCTTTTGATATGAGAGGTTGGTAGGGAAATAGTACACTTGTTAAAATAAAGGAGCTATCTTGGCGTGGTCGTGAATTAGGGAAATCATTTGTCTATCAATGTCCTTTCATCTTGACGTTTGGGTTTATCGCTTCTCTTCGGTTCGGTATCATCCATCAATGCCTGCTAGGAATTCAGGGCGGGTTGGTGCGGTAGGGCGACTTGGACCTCCCTAAAACTGATAGATTATGCCCCGGAAAGCCAATCAGTTTTACGGAGGAGCAACAAGCCCGGACGGCCTAAAAGGGCATAAAGCATCTGGACTTAACCTAACTGCTGGGGTTACAGGTACAGATACTTTGAAGAGGCGTAATTTGGTTGCTCTGACTCTGTGTAATTTTAAGACATTATTCAATGGTTGCAAAGACAACAGAATATTTCTTAATAGTTTACTTTGAATGCTCATCCTATTCAAAGCTGCTTCCAGCTTCTTCATCGCAATTCTATGAATATTGTCATATCTTACTCAATATCATATCGACAGCTTCCATTCATCCCCATGCAAAGGCCCATGTACCCAGTACAAACCCTTCGGTTGCCTTTTCGATCGCACACCCTCCCTCGTCCGTGCAACCCACACCCTTCATTATTGATTGATTGATTGATTGATTGATCGATTGCTTGCTTGCTCTCTCTTTCTCTCGCTCTCCTCCTCTCCATCTTTTTTCTCCCAGCATTTTACCTGTCTTGTCCCTAGACAAGTACAAACCCCCAATACGATCCGATCTCTTCAGCTATGGCGACGGCCATGGAAGCGGCCGACCCTATGTCGTCACTCCAGAGGTCCGTCTCCCAGCACAGCAGCGCCTCATATGCGTCACACGCCTCTCACGTATCCCACACCTCGAACCGAAGCTCCAGAAGCAACCGAAGCGCAACTGTCAGGGGCCCTCGCGGTAGGAAACGTCCCAGCCAGCCTGTTAGCTCTGCGAGTAGTATAGCTGCCAGCGACAAGAGTCTCACGAGCTTTCCTAGCTTCTCACCCGAGAGTCCAGGCGGTGATCCCCTCAGCGGACAAGACGATGCTCACGACGATACCCCCGTTCCTCCGGTCGCGGCTCCGGATGTTGGGCGCAGTTCGATAGTTGATCTGACTGGAGGCTCAGATGTGCGAAGTGCCTTGTTCGAAGAGGATCATCCGGTGCGCAAGGTTCCAGGCTCGTTACATAACGCCGATGACGAACATCTTCAACGCTTGATATCGCGGCATGGCACCATTGGACTGATCAGACAAATATCCGAGGACCTCGCACAACGAGATGCCCAGATCGCCAATATGCGCCGCCGCGCTGATGAACGAGAACGGGCTTTGCGCAAAATCATTCGAGAATGTGGCCTCTCTAACCTGGATCTTGAAACTCGCCTACGGACTATTGAGGCTGAGCTACGCGCGGCCAACAAGGGACTCCGGAGAGAGGATACTGGATTAAGCGACCTCATGAGCGATGCAATGCAAGACACCGTAGTGGCTACTGCGTACGGCGAGACAGTCGCCAAGGGCTCTACCATCCGCGCAAGCAGCCAGTCTTTCAGCAACCCCAGCGAGAACGGCAGCGGCAAGGGCACTTTGAAGGGATGGAAGGATTATCTCTGGGGCTCTGGGACCGCAAAGCGAGGCAGCCGTACGAACAGCATGAACGGCGAAGGTGTAAACCCTACAACTGTGATTCGATCACACTCTAGTATGGACCGACGACCAACGTTGCAGGAGGATCTCTTCAGCCCACCAGACACGCAATCTACTCGAAGCCCAAGCCGTGCGTCAAGCATTCAATCGGGCGCAACTGGCGAGCGCAAAGCATCATCGTCGCTTGCAAGCATGGCCCTTCGTTTGGTGGCTGGCGGAGCGATAAGTACTCGCGAGGCTGAGTCTCGAGGCCGTGCTACGAGCACCACTTCCAACAAGGGTGGTTCTCTTCGGGCTGTTTCGACTACAAGCAGCCACGCGGGTCAGTCTCGAGCTGTGTCGATCGCTGGCGGTCCCAAGGCGTTGATGGCGATGCGTAAAGCGACTCCAGGACCATCTGCTCAAGGATCAGGCCGATCACAGGGGCAAGAAGCTTGGGACAGTATGCGAGGCAGTCCTCCAGATAACTCATCATCACGACAAGAGAGCTATGGGCCTGTGGAGATGGATGCTATTCGATCACCAGAATCACAGCCACCAACATTAACACATATTTATAACAACTTTCCGAACAGCGAATATCTGACGGACCGATTTGGATTCATATACGATCAGCGACGCAAGAAACGACAACGCGAGGCGGCGCAAGTGGCTCGACATATTCGCAAGGGCAGTCGTACAGAGATGCTAGCAAACGGCCGAGGTGGTATCTCACCTAACGCATTAGAGGACCTTCCCAGCCCTAAGGGAAGTGTATCAAGTGAGGGACGTCCTGAGAGCCTGAACAGCATGGAGGAACGTAACGCGGAAGAGGGCAAAGCTAAGAGATGGACCGATTATCTGAAAATCGCAACGTTTCCCACCGAACTTCTCAGTCACACGCCAAGTATCGCGATTCCATCCATCGAGGTTATGGAGGGAGCTCAGACCCCCGAACCAGAGCTATACCCTACCGAGCCTGTCAAGCCAGTAATCGTTTCAACCAACTCTGGTCTTATTCCATCAGCTAGCACAACTACTGCAGTAGACAGTGAGACCTCACGCCCCTCTCAGTCTGAATCATCCGTTGCACTCACCAAGGACGATACCGAACCTGTCAAGCTGCTTCTCCAGCAACTGAGCGATGTCCACGATGCTCTTCAGCGTGAAAAGACAGTTCGATGGAATGATTTCCTGCGAAAGGTGCGCGCCGAACGCAAGCGGGAGGGCGAAGCCGCAATTGCTGCCGCCAAATCCGCTGCTGATGCTCGCTACGAACAACCTGCCATGATCCTTCCTGAAACCCGCGTTGCCGATGGTGAGATGATTGGAGTTTCAGGTCTTGGCGTCAAAGGAAAGGTTGGAAGAGCCAAGTGGAACGAATTCAAAACCCTGGTTTTGGGCGGTATTCCTGTCACCTATCGCGCCAAGGTGTGGTCAGAGTGTTCGGGAGCTGCAGCCCTTCGTGTCCCTGGCTATTATGAAGACTTGGTAGCTCAGACCGGCGAGGACGACGATGCTGTTGTTGTTAGTCAGATTCAGATGGACATCAACAGGACCTTGACGGACAACATCTTCTTCCGTAAGGGACCCGGCGTTAAGAAGCTGAACGAAGTCTTGTTGGCGTACTCCAGGCGCAACAAAGACGTGGGCTACTGTCAGGGCATGAATTTAATTGCTGCCAACTTGTTGCTCATGATGCCTTCTGCTGAGGACGCTTTTTGGATTCTTACTTCAATCATCGAGAATATCCTTCCCCACGGCTACTACGACCACTCACTCATGGCCTCCCGCGCAGATCAACAGGTACTGCGACAGTATGTTTCAGCAATCCTCCCCAAGCTCTCGGCACATCTCGACTCGCTATCCATCGAGCTCGAGGCCTTGACTTTCCAGTGGTTCCTCTCCGTCTTCACCGACTGTCTCAGCGCCGAGGCTCTCTTCCGCGTCTGGGACGTCGTCCTCTGCACCAACGACGGCAGCACATTTCTCTTCCAAGTCGCCCTCGCCCTCCTCAAGCTCAACGAGGGAAACCTGTTACAGTGCAACACACCCGCCGGGATATACACATACATCAGCCATCAGATGACAGAGCACGCCATCAGCATCGACGGTCTTCTCCAAGCAAGCGAGGGCCTACGAAAAGTTATTCGCCGAGAAGATGTTGAACAGCGAAGAGAAAGGGCTATCCAAGCTGAAAAGGATATGATTATGGCTCGAGATGGAGACTCAGCTCGAAGCAAGCCCACAGCCGAGACGGAGAGCGAAACGGCTACAACCCAATCAGGAGAGGAGTAAAAACTAAAAGGCGATCATTAAAGAGTAAAAGATAAGATAGAAGGTGTGATTGGATCAGGGATATTTTTTTCCTCTGGGAGTTTTCTGTTTTTGTTTGTGTCTCAGAAAGGCCATGATACCCACACCCCTGGACCCCCCAAACACAAGGTAGACGTGGGTTGTTGTCCAGGGGAGTTGATGCATTACGGCGTTGGGATATTATCGAATTGGAAGGGTTACGAGGCATTGGTTTGTTCATATACGAGGGGCATAAGAATAAATACGAAAAGAATTACCGCTACTATATCTCGCATGTGTTCTATGATGATGTGGCACTTTTTGAGGAAAAGGGAATATCCCCAGCTATCTTCTATTGGTCTGTCTCTAGAAGTTTCCAAAGACTACAAAGAACTTGTAAACAGTTGTCAAGAACATTATAGAAGTCTCGGAAGAATATTGGCACAAGGTTTAGGATTAATAAAAATCGAGGCTTACGTCCTCGGGGGGCAAGAAAATACCAGACCTTAATGTTAGCTCAGCAAAAGACATCCTAAATTCAGTAAAGATATCCTAAACTTAATAAAGATGTCCTAAATTTATATAAATTTAGTATATTTATTCTGAATTTCATTTCCTACCTTAAAAACTTATCAGAATTTTCATAAATATTGAACATTATCGTAAAATTACTCAAGTCTTTGGATTGAAAGGCTACAGATAAGCTAAGAATAGTCTAAAGTCGTCGTCCCTCATGTCAATAAAACTCCCATCTCATACTCTCCGTTTTGGTATCTAATGCACTGCGATCCTCTCGTTTTCCTTGTCATGGTCCTCGCCATGGCCCTCAGCATGATCCTTGCCATTCCTGCCATTCTATGGTCTAACTGTAGACATCTTTCTCGCATTCTGTTGCATGAGAGCATCAGCCACCATGATCGCCGCCATTCCCTCGACGATAGGGACAGCACGAGGCACAACGCAGGGGTCGTGTCTTCCCTTAGCAGCGAGAACACCCTCGCCTGAGCCATCGTAGAGTGCTGTGATCTGATCCTGGCTGATGGTGGCAGGAGGCTTGAAAGCGACTCTGAAGAAGATGGGCATGCCATTGCTGATACCACCCTGGATACCGCCGGAATGATTCGTCTTTGTTTGGAGTCTAGAGCGAGGAATGCCTGTCCTCTGGGTGGCGGCGTCGAGAGCAGGTGCTGGCACGAAAGGATCGTTATGCTTAGACCCGGTCATTTCGGCCCCAAAGAAACCGCTACCGTACTCAAAACCCTTGACAGCGGGAATAGACATCACGCCGTGGGCAAGACTAGCCTGGAGCTTGTCGAAGCAGGGCTCGCCAAGACCAGATGGCACGTTGCGGATAATACAGGTGACAGTTCCGCCAGTGCTGTCGTGCTCATCGCGAAGCTCCGCAATGCGAGCCTCCATGGCTCGGCCGATGGCGTCATCGGGGCATCGGACAGGAAGATTTTCGTCAACTTGTTCGCGGGTGAGAGTCTCGGCGAGACTGAGGAAGGCAGGATCGGTGCTCATGGCTTCTGTATCAGCAAAAAGCTTGATGGTACCGACGGAGCTGACAAAGGCAACAATCTCGATGTTGTAAGTCTGCTTGAGCCACTTCTCGGCAACAGCACCAGCGGCAACTCGAGCAATAGTCTCGCGTGCAGAGCTGCGACCACCACCTGACGAGGCCTTAACCCCGTACTTTTCGAGGTAAGTCCAGTCTGCGTGGCTGGGACGGGGGTACATGTCGATGGTCTTATCACCGTAGTCCCTTGGTCGCTGATCCTCATTGGGGACGGTCAATAGAATCGGTGTTCCGAGAGTGACGCCATTTTCGGTTCCAGAGTTAATGGTGACGCGATCCTTCTCGTTACGAGGTGTGGTGATGGCCGATTGACCTGGTCGACGACGGTTCAGCTGAGGCTGGATATCGGCCTCTGTGAGGTCCAGGCCGGGAGGGCAGCCATCGATGATACACGAGATGGCTCTTCCATGCGACTCGCCAGCACTGTAAGAAGACAAAGAGATGACTTTTAGCTGCTGCTTGTCGATTTTGGGGGAGGGGGGGGGCGGGGGGGTTCGAGCTGGAAGAAATAGAAACTTACGTCGTCACCCGGAAGATTTGCCCAATGCTGGACATGATGAATGTATGTGTTGATGAATGTGTTGATGATGTGGAGAGATAATCCAATGGTTGATGAGTTGGAAGATGAAAGATGGCGGCCGTTGGAGAATGGAAAGGAAGACAATGAGGCTGTTCTTGGTCTGGAGGGGAACTCGTTCCTGCCGATTTCGGTCCAAAATTTTGTGCGTTGGGAAAGCGCGGGGGAGGGGCAGCACGGTAGATGGATTGTGAGCGATCTGATTGGCCAGTCAAGATAACCTCAGTAGATGAACTTTAGACGGATCTTCAAGAAATATCATGGAACTCTTGTAGAACAGACGCCAAGATATCAGATGAAAAACATGAGCTATCACATCAATTGGAAGGGCCATATTATATACATGTCATTAAGCGACATCGGGCCGCTGTTGCTGTGACTCAATTGATGTCCATCCATGCATCTCGTCTGATTCCATAAAGTCTGGATAATCGCTCTTCCGCTGTAGATTCAGAGCCAATAGCTACCTGCTCCAGGGGCTCAGGGAGCAAGAAAATATCAGTCCATGATTTAGGGTGTCAAAATAAACCTAGCAAAGAGTCCCCTAAACTTAGGCTAGATTTACCTAAGCATTTTTATCGCTTAGGGCCAAGGTCCCAAGTTTTCTTTCCTCCCACCTAGCCAGAGCCCAAACATTCTCCATCTCAACGGATACAAAACGTCATATCAAAGCAAATCTCGATTCAGATTATCAATCAATTCCTTTCTTCACTCGGTACTTTCCTTTTTCTGCAAGGCACAGCGCTCTCACTGGTTTGGATGTTTCCCGAACCCGCACCCGCTACCGTCCGTTGCGGAACTGAAACTGCCCCTAAAGTTTACAGGGCTTTCAGCGCCCTATTTCCGGTCCGCGGCGGGGTCAACTTCGATTGGGGTTTTCCGTCTCCGAGGCTGAGAACCAAACGTTTGTTTCCTCAACTCTTTTGCTCATTGGATACATTAGCTTCAACGACGAGTCTCATCCATTGCCTTGGGTAATACCGTATTTCCGGTCTAATTGCATGTCTGTCCGTGGCTTTGTCTCATTAATTCTCAAATTCTATTCCGATATTAACTCTTGTCATCATAATGCGGCCCAATCGCACGCTTTTAGGCTCAACGCCTCGAAAGATATCACGACATTTCCCCTCATTATCAGCCATATCAAGACGCCAATTCACCGATGCAGCATCTCATTCATCCAATAAGATCCAAGTATACACTTCAACTTCTCGTGATCCCTTCCTGAACCTCTCTGTTGAGCACCATCTTCTCCAGAAGACGCCCCCAGAGTCAACCATACTCTTCCTCTACACCAATGACCCCTGTATTGTCTTTGGTCGAAACCAAAATCCATGGATGGAAGTGAATCTTCGAAGACTGGCCCAGTTCCGTAATGATCCTACAAGCGTAGGTTGGACTGGTGGGCCAGTGCAGCTTGTCCGTCGTCGTTCAGGGGGAGGCGCTGTTTTTCACGATGAAGGAAATGTCAACTTTAGCGTCATTTGCCCTCCTGCAGTATTCGACCGGAACAAGCACGCCGAGATGGTCGTAAGAGCTCTATCCTCCCTTGGAAAGCCAAATACGCGTGTCAATGAGCGACACGACATTGTTATAGATATCCCTGACGACCCAATCGGCACCTACAAAATCTCAGGGTCCGCGTATAAACTCACTCGTCTTCGGTCTCTTCACCACGGAACATGCCTCCTACGCAGCCCAAACCTGAACAATATCTCAGGCATGTTGCGTTCGCCAGCTGAGCCGTATATCAAGACTCGTGGCGTCGACAGTGTCCGCAGCCCTGTCCGCAACGTCGGCATCGAGAATGCTGCTTTCGAGGCTGCCGTTGTGGAACAATTTGCAAGCATGTACGGCAACTTCGATGTCCGGGAGGTCATCAGTGACAAGTTACTTGAGACGGATAGCATCAGCAAAGGGTACGAGGAACTACAGTCGCGGGACTGGATCTATGGCCAGACACCAAAATTCACCTTCTCAACTTTCCCGTACGAGGAGGACCTTCGAGAGCGTCCTCAACTGGACTTTGACGTGAGTGACATACCGCTTGGCAGAGGCATATGACAAAGCAACTGACGGGGACATAGACCAAGCTTCGTTTCGAGGCTAGACACGGTGTCGTAGACAAATTCACAGCCCAAGGCCCATCATCTCCCACCTCAGAAGACGGTCTGTCAGCACTCACATCATCATCCATCTACAACGTCTCCAGCTGGGGCGCACAGCTTTCCCAAGCTGGTATGGCCGACGGCGATGCGGCAAAGGTCGGGCCATGGATGGACGACATCTTGGGAGTCGACTTCACGAAACCCCAACAATAATGCCGCCGTTCTCTGAACAGGTTGCAACATGATACACGCAATGTCAGAGAGGTCAATACGAGCAATCTCTTCCGTGCTGTCCGTCTCTTTCATACACCACCTCATACTCCGAGCATTCCATTATTTTGCCCGGTTCTCATGTCATGTCTCACTCAGAACGCGAAGGCGAATCCGAATAGACCCGGTGACTGCCTAGCCAATTGGTAATGGTTAGCATGTGAACTTGGCACACCATAGTGGGAATGGCCACCCACCTTTCGGAGCAGAAGAGAGCAAGGCTGGCTGAGCCTCGCACGCGTCGCGTTCAATCAAAATGTACGCGTTGCACTTTCTTCGCCGCTTCACGGTCTGGGCCATACCTGGAACCAATATTGGTGGAAGCGAGAAACAGGTTCCAGTGTCCAGCTGGTGGGAAGCTTAGAAGGCAGCTAAGAGCATCACATGGCTTGTCAGCCGACCTAGGGTCCAGTCCATCCATCACGCATCAAAAATTCCCAACATACGCAGCCTCTCGACAGTGCAGTCT